GAGAGACTTCTGGTGAACTTGAGCAGTGGAGGTATGAGGAGCTTCTTTTCTTCTCCTGCAATTCCTTGGGAAAGAAACATGCAGCATGTTTAGACTATCACCTCAATAAGTTGCTTAGCTTTGTTATTTTTTTACAGTCACATCCTCATCTTCAGCTGAGCATCTAAAGTAGCAAGAAAATATTTACCAATGGACTTTTGTCTTCTCATACAGCTTTTTGGCACACGAACATAACTTCCATGGGATCTTGCAGGAACACTAGGGGGAACTACAGCAACTCCTGGCCTTTCAGACGTGGACGGCTATAAAACAGATTTATTGATAAGAGCTCAATGTGCACATACATAAAGACAGTTTTATATATAATTATCCATCATGACTGTAATCCAAAAGTGGTGTTCACATTTAATTTTAAAATACAAGACAAAAGCAACTTACATTCAAATCCATGGATGTGGCCAAAAAGCGACTCGAGGGGCGGGGCTTGATCGTGGCAACTTTGTCCAATGAGGCTTTTTCATGCACAAGCTTCTGTGGCTGCACGGTCTCTTCAACTTTATCTGCAAAAGGCAGTAATGTCTGAGGAACAGGAGTACAAATTGCATTCGATCTCTAACACAGGCATCCATTCTCTGCAAGTTTATCAATTAACCACAGGAATACAGCATAAAGGGAAAAAGCATGGAACATGCCTAGTGCTTGCATTGCAGTAAACAACAAACCATGATCATTTTCAGAACCACGACTGAATCCAGTGTAACATTATGACAAAGAAAAAAAAACGTTAACTCAAACATTTCTTTTTTCACATTTCACTAAAATAAACCTCTATTAAACCATATTAAAATAAGGAATATGATTTCAGCTCACATCTTGATGAGTTAAACGTTTTTAAAGCTTGTTTTGTCATATTTTAAATCATTTTAGGCCATCTTGCAGAGATTGGGTTGGGTGGGGGCTGCTGATCCAGCTCTATCACTGCTTGCATCAAGAACAATAAAAAAAGTAAATCGAAAATTGTAGTGGCATGAGTTTTGACTTAACATCCTGAACCTTCTTTACTTTGTTTGGTAAGATATCGGTAATGGGCACATTGTGGAAGTGGACAAAATGGCTTGAACGGTCTACAGATGTATTCATAGTATCCACAGACCACTCAGATCTGATCATTAAAAAATCTGTATTATTCCTGGAGTCACTGTCACCACCAAGAATGTGATGCCATCTTACAAAACAACAATTCATCCTAACATATGGAAGCAGAAATATCACTCCCTCGTCGTGCATCAGTTCTGGGCTCCCCTATCAAAGTTAGGTTTGGGAATAAAGAAATGTTTTTTTATTCACAGTAAAATAATGCAAAGACTATAAATAGACAACTTCATCTCGAATCGTCCTTCCTGGTTGCACGCAGCAACAAACATACAGTGACCAGTGCAGGATGATCGGGTTCTTTTGAAAGGAATATTCTCGGTTCAAAGGTTAAGCTC